CCCAGAGCTGAAATGCCATAGTTCCCGTCCTCGGAAAGGTCACTCCAAACAATAACTGTGTGGTTTTTTTTTGCGGTACACGGGCCTCTCATTGCCGTGGCCTCTCCCGCCGCGGAGCACAGGCTCCGGACGCGCAGTCTCAGCAGTCATGGCTCATGGGCCCAGCCGCTCCGCGGCATGTGGGATCTTCCCGGACCTGGGGATGAACCCGTGTCCCCTGCATCGGCAGGTGGACTCTCAACCACTGCGCCACCAGGGAAGCCCTGTGGTTTTAAATGATCAAAAAATGACTGAGGGAGTGATTCTTGGTGAGGGAATTGATGGGGTTCAGGGCAGGCCGCCTCCAAACATGCCACTCTGGCATATTGATTATTTTGAATTAAAGTTTCTTGGGAAACAGCCAGTGCGAGAACATGCTTACCCTCCTTTGTCCCCCTGAAAAAGCAGGAAATAAATCTCCCATGTGAAGATACCCTCTACCAGGAGGAGAGGAGGCATGCCTATCGCCAGAGATAGCGAATTCAAGGTCTCAAGGCCAAGAAGGCTGTATAAACAAACTTTGTTACTTCTTCATTAATTTGCTACCCCAAGCAAAAAGGCTTCCGTGTTGTCAAATCTTCACAAGTGATTGTTTCTTTGCCTACAAGGTATAAAAGCTGCCTGCGTTAGTCACTTCTTTGAGCTTCATGTTTGGGGCTCCTGGACGTTCGAAATTAAATTTGATTGTTTTTCTCCTGTTGATCTGTCTTATGCCAATTTAATTATATTAGACCAGCCAAAGAGAACCTAGAAGGGCAGAGGGAAATTTTTCCTCCCCTACAGGATCAAGAAAAATGTCAAGGGCTTTCATTTGCTAAGGGTCTTGAAGATGGAGCAGAAGTTCACCGGGCAGGCAAGTGTGGGAACCCCAGAGACAAAGACGGAGGCAGGAAACACGTGGTTGTCTGAGAAACTTGAAGAAGTTATGCCGAGGCTTAGCTGGGAAGGGCCTTGGCGGGTCTGCTTACTTCACTGGTTGCCAGGAAAGGCCTTGGTGTCTCCTACTAACGTGTTTTTACCCACAACAGCAGGACACTTTTTTTTTTTTTAATTTTGTTTATTTGTTTTTGGCTGCGTTGGGTCTTCGTTGCTGCGCACAGGCTTTCTCTAGTTGTGGCGAACAGGCGCTACTCTTTCTTGCGGTGCACAGGCTTCTCATTGCGGTGGCTTCTCTTGTTGCGAAGCACGGGTTCTAGGCGCACAGGCTTCAGTAGTTGTGGCACGTGGGCTCAGTAGTTGTGGCTTGCGGGCTCTAGAGCGCAGGCTCAGTAGCTGTGGCACACGGGCTTAATTGCTCCACGGCATGTGGGATCTTCTCAGACCAGGGCTCGAACCCGTGTCCCCTGCATTGGCAGGCGGATTCTTTTTTTTTTTTTTTTTTTTGCGTTACGCGGGCCTGTCACTGCTGTGGTCTCTCCCGTTGCGGAGCACAGGCTCCAGACGCGCAGGCTCAGCGGCCATGGCTCACGGGCCCAGCCGCTCCGCGGCATGTGGGATCTTCCCAGACCGGGGCACGAACCCATGTCCCCTGCATCGGCAGGCAGACTCTCAACCACTGCGCCACCAGGGAAGCCCTAGCAGGCGGATTCTTAACCACTGTGCCACCAGGGAAGTCCCAGCAGGACACTTCTGACACCAAGTGTGTGGTTCCCCCAGCCAGCAATTCTCCAGCTCTCTGCAGACACCAATGGGGTGCCCTGTAATTTAATTCATTCTAATGCTAAGTGCCTGGAGTCAGTGCAGACCCCACAGGTTAAGGGCCGAGTACACAAGACCGTCCCCCTCTTCAGTTGCAAGTACAGATTCCTCAGGTTACCCACATTTCTGTACAATTTGGCTACAAATCAGGGATTCCCTCCACCCCCTCCTCACCTTTCATAATTTGCTATAACAGCTCACATAATTCAGGGAAACACCTTACTTCTGCCGGTTTATTACAAAGGATACAAACAGCTACATGAAGAGGTACATAGGGTAAGATCTGGTAGGGTCCACAGAGAACAGAGCTTCTGTCCCCATGGAGTTTGGGGTGTACCACGCTCCCAGGAAGTGCTTGTACTCACAACTCAGAAGCTCTCCAAACCCCTTCATTTAGGGTTTTTATGGAGGTTCCATTACATAGGCATGAATGATGAAATCACTGGCCACTGGTGATTAACTCAATTTCCAGCCCCTCTCCCCTCCCTGGGGCAGGGGAGGGGGGACTGAAAGTTCCAATCCTCTAATCACAAGGTTGGTCCCTCTGCGATTAACCCCCAACCTGAAGTTATCTAGGGGCCTCCAGACACCAGTCATTCATTAACCGTAAACTCCAGTACAGTGGAAAGCTGCTTGTTAAGAAAAACAAAAGATGCTCCTATCACCTCTGTCAGGAAATTTCAAAACCCTTTCAGAAGCTCTGCGCTAGGAACTGGGACGAAGACGAAATATACATGTCTTACTATATCACAACATTGCAGAGTCAGACCTGAGTTCAAAATCCTGACATTTCTATGTTGGATGACTTGCTGAATTGGAGTTTCCTGCTTTATAAATTAGGAGATTACAATACGTATCTCACCAGGTTGGAGTGAGAAGTAAATAAGTGTATGATGAAAAAACATCCAACAAGTTCCTGGCATCCAGTAGATGCTCAATGCGTGTTTATTCTCTTTTAAAAAATTAAAGTTTACTCTGAATGTAATAAACATCAGCACCTACCACAGGTCAGGTCTCCCTGTGGCATCTCATTTAATCCTTGCAGTCATTCTGTCAGGTAGATTATCACTCTCATTCTACAGAGGAGGATACTGAGGCTCAGAGAGGGCAGGTGGCTTGTTCAAGGTCACACAGGCGACAGGATATGGAGCCGGAATTAGAATGGAGTGGGCTGGACTCCAAATCTTAATTCTTTCCAGACTCTTCCTCAACAGACAAACCACCAGGCCTCAGCAACCCCGTTCATGGCAGAGACTGCACATAAGCTCCTGGTATCCATTTCCCAATCTTTTTTCAGTAACAGAAACTGTAGTTGGTCACTTTGTAGCTCAGTCCAAAGCCTTCATTTCCTGACCTCCCTTTCAGTGAGATATGGCCATGGGGCTAGGTTACTGCCATTCAGATGTAAGGAGAAGCATCATGAGGAACCTCTGAAGTCTCCTTAAAAGGGAAGGGAGATTGCTTGCAAGTAAATGTTGATTTGAAAAAAAAAAAAAAAAGGAGGAGGAAGCAAATGCCATCTTCCTACCTTTCTCTTTCCTTCCTGCTGGATGAACTCAGACTAAATGACTGGAGCTCAAGCAGTCATCTTGGGCCATGTGAAGCTGTGCTGGTAGGACAGCAAGATGGTGAATCACCGTCCCAGTCCTAGACTGCCTCCCTCTTCCCTCTTCTGAATATCAGCTCTTCTCTATTAAGCCTTTACTTCAGCATTTAAACAGGCTCAAGTTTCTCCCAACCTAAAAGAAAAAACTCTTCTCAAACCCATGTTCCCTCCCACCAACTGGGAAGAACCACCTATTCTCAAGGTTTTTGTGTCTCCATTTCCCAGCCATTCCTCAACTCACTGCATGTGGGTTTCTGTCCTACCATTCCATCCGAATTGCCTGGGCCAAGGGCCTCCGAACAGCTAAATCTAACAGGCTTTCTTCGGTTACCTTCTAACTGGATCTCTCAGAAGCATGTCATGTTGCTCCCCATGCCCCCCTCATCTTGGGTTCTGTGCCACCTCTGCTCCCCCTGCCTCTCTAGCTGCTCACTCTCTGTTGGCTTTGCTTACTAACCCGCTGCTCTGAGCTCTAGTCTTCTCTAAGGAATGATCTGACTTCTTTTCTTGCATGTCTCAAAAGCAACTCAAACTCAACATATCCAGGGAATTCCCTGGCGGTCCAGTGGTTAGGACTCTGCGCTTTCACTGCCGAGGGCCGGGGTTCAATCCCTGGTCGGGCAACTAAGATCCCACAAGCCACGCTGCGCAGCCAGAAAAACCCAACATGTCGAAAATGAACATTCTCCCTCTCCTCAGACCTAGTTGTTCTTGCCAGAAATCTGGGAGAATCTTTGACACGTCTCTTCCCACCATCACCCACAACCAATCCGTGGTCAAGCCCTGACGATTTCATCTCCTAAATAAAGTTCACCGCCATCAGCTGACACAAACCACTCTAGGGACTGTTGCCTGGATCCAGTACAACATTCTCCTAATTGGTCTTTCTGTCTCCACGCCAATCCTCTTCTAAACACCAATTTTGTACACAGTAGTCAAAGGGATCTTTCTACCAACAGGGTCATGTCAATGGCTTGCTCAGAAGTCAACAACTTTCCTTTATCCTCCAGACAAATAGCCCAACTCCTGCCTGGGGCTAGCGAGGTCAGAGCCTGCCCCCTACCCCCTTCATCTCACTCCCCCTCCATCTCTGTTCCAGCCACAGCGGCCTTCGGTGACACCCATGCTTCCTGAACCCACCCGCTCCCTTTCCTCGTGCCTTGTGCACTAGCTGTCCCCTCCAGCCCTTCCTTGTCGCCAGTTACCTGCCACACTGCCACGCCTGCCACATGCATAAACTCCCTTCCCAGTAAGCAGCAGCATTCGAAATGACTTACGCATGTAAATGTTGTCCTTCCCAATTAACATGTTAGCTTTTGGAGGGCCTGTCTTGCTTGCTGCTTCACCCCAAAGGGCCAGGCACAGTCACCCAATGAATATTTATTGAGTGAATGAATAATTCGCCCTCTCCCGCCCCCATAGTGCTCATAAAGTACCCTAATCCAGGGTCTTAGGAGCCCCACCTGAAAGGGATCCTGAAGAAAGTTCTGTAAATAAAGATGAAGAGGGGCTACTACATAAGGAAGCCGTCCTTCCCTTTCTCTTACGGGAGAAAGGGTGGAAGAGCGCGCCTGCGCACTCGCTTCCCTACGGCCGCATCCTACTTCGGCCGTAGGGTGGCGCTGGGCTCAAGCTTCCTGGTAGCGCGGTCCTCCTGGCCGGCTTTGGGTCGCTCTAGCCGCCTTTCTCGCCTGCTCTGGCGGGAGGCGGGGGCGCTCGCGGGGGTCCCTCCAAGATGGCGGCACAGAGGAGGAGCCTGCTACAGAATGTGAGGAACCCACTCGCTCTTCGGGATGGGGGTTGGGAGCCCGGGGGGACCTGTCGGGTGCAAGCGCGGCTCCTTCTCCGCCTTTGGTCGCCTCCCCGTCCCTGGCAGGGTGTGGCCGCCGCCCTCCCCTTTCCCGGGCCGGCCCCCCCTCATTCCCGACCCCGGGTGCGTGCGGCCCCGCAAGGCCCGCGCGTGCGCGTTGCCGGCCGGGCCGTCGGGGGCTCGGATTCGCGGTCTAGCGGCCGCGAGCGTCAAGGGCGCGTGGAGGGTAGGAGCGTTCTGGAGCCTGCAGGGACAGTGGCGCGCGGCCGCCGAGAGAGCCGGGGTAGCGAGCCTACCCCGGGCCCTGGGCGGGTCGTGCGATAATAATCATCGTAGCAGCAGCAGCAGCCAGTTGTGTATCGCTTACTATATCCCAGGCTTTGTGCCAATAGCTTTATATTTCTAAGTTTAATTTTTCATAACAGCCCCGTGAGACAAGTACTGTAATTCTCCCTGTTTTACAGATGAGGAAACTGAGGCACAGAGAGGTGGTCATTTGCCAAAGGCCACACAGCTGGTAAGTGGCAGAGGCAGGATTAAAATCAGGGATTCTGATTCCAGAAACCCTCTTAACCTCTAGGCTATACGGAGGGAATGACTGGGTTCTGGTCCTGGCTGTAACTCACTGTGCTTCCATCAGTCTCAGTTTCCTTATCCATTAGGTAAGAGCAGGCAGCGGGAGGATTGTCGTGAGGCTCCCCCCTCCCACCTCCCCCCAGTCTGGACCCTCATGGGATTGTCACTGGTGTCTTCCAGCACCTGCATCCTTTTGACACACATATACATAGATGCACATGCGTGTTGGCACCATGGACCGAGGGCAGGTTGCTTGTCCCCTGGGTCCTGCTCAGACATGGCAGTCTGTTGTACTTGCCTGTGGACTTGTCTGCCTCCTGTACTGGAAAGTGAACTTGAAGAGAGGGGAACACTGAATAGTGTTACCAGCACCTCCCATCACTAGGTGCTGGGCATTCAATAAATTGTTTATAAAATAATGAGTAAAGCATTTGAGGCCAGGTCCAGTGCTCAGCCCTGACTTTACAGAAATGCAGCGCATCTTGGCCCTACTGCCCTAAGGGGTCTTGAAGCATTGGAACCAGCGGGTAAGGGTGGCCTTCACTGCTGTAATCTAATGAGAGGCTTTGTGTAGACTCCCTTTGAAATTGCTCCTCCAGGACGGCGATTCCCAGCTTTTCCCAGTGGGGAATGCTCTCTTCCCCTCCACACCTGTGGCTGTCCCTTTATTTTACTACTGCCTGGCAGTTTGGCCTTATCCTTTTTTTTTTTTTTTTGCGGTACGTGGGCCTCTCACTGGTGTGGCCTCTTCCGTTGCGGAGCACAGGCTCCGGACGCACAGGCCCAGCGGCCATGGCTCACGGGCCCAGCCGCTCCACGGCATGTGGGATCTTCCCGGACCGGGGCACGAACCCGTGTCCCCTGCATCGGCAGGCGGACTCCCAACCACTGCGCCACCAGGGAAGCCCTGGCCTTATCCTTGAGTTGGTTAGGTAGGCCTGGCCCTCTGCTTTGCAGGAGGGCAGGGCCCCTATGTAAATGTCCCCAGTGTAGTAAATAGTCCAGAAATACTGGGTGGATTGTGGCAGATGCTGGTGCGGTTAACTGTCATAGGCTGACGTGGCTTGCCGAGGAGAGTGGCTACCAGCTTCCCTCCCTTACCGGTGTGATGGAGCCCAGGGACTCGGGTTAGACAGAGGCGAGCTTTGCTAGCTCCGGAACGTGTGCAGTCTTTTAAAGTTGGCTGGTTAGCTTTAAGCACGTAGCACTGTGATGAAAGGCAAAGGGGTGATAGGGATGTCCGCACCAGAGCCCTCCCGCGCTAATGACGATCAAGACACCTCTGCTCACAGGGTATCCAAGGGTCCACACGGTGTGCTGGGCTTGGCCTGCCCTCCACTGTCCTGAGTCCGGTGAGAGTAGCTCAGACACCGTCATACAGCAGGTGGCTATGAGATCTGCTGGTCTGTAGTTACTGGGCCTGGGGGTACGAAGATAAAGAAGGCAGGTGTCCACCCCCACTGCATTTGCAGTCCTGCATGGGAGAAGGAGCCTGTATCACTAATGTGATGTGTAAGGCACTCTAGTGTCAATGTGTTGAGGGGATGCAGATGGCCTAATTTGACCAGGTCAGTGGAGGCTTGCAGGAGGGGCTGGGGATCTGCTGTCATGGTGCTGGGAGGGAGTGCCAGGGACAAGATGGCAGAGCGCTTCGTGGAATGTCATCCTGAGGAGTTTCACCTTTGCTCCCCAGGTAGTGTAGTACCTTAAAAGGTCTTTTGAAGAAAAGATGAGCTTTTGAAGTAGCTTCAAAAGAACTTGGGCCCTTCACAGCCTGATAAAACAGCTCACGGGTCCTGTATGGCCTTGGGCAAGTCACTAACATCCCTAAACCTTGATTTTTCAGTTAACATCCCTGAACCTTGGTTTCCGCACCCGAGAGGACTCCCAGGAGTGTTGTTAGTATTAAATGACCATGTTACACTCCTGGCCTGGTGTGGTTACCTCCAGCCATGAAGCTCCACCTTCAGTCCTGATGTGAATGAAGGCCTACGGTTCATTCCCTTAAACGTCACTGAGTAGTCAGTATGTGGCAGGCACTGTGTAGTGCAGGGGACCCTGCCCTCGTGAAGCTTATGTTCTAGTGAGTGAAATAAGAAACAGAAAGAAGTACAGATTATATATGATATAATAATAGCCAGAATATAACATAGGGGTGCTGCGAGGAAGAATAGGCCGGATTCACAGACAGCGGGGCGAAGGGCCTGTTTTAGACAGAGTGGTCGGGGAAGACAGTTGAACGTTTGATGAGATGAGGTGGGCGATGTGGGAGGGAGTATTCCTGCGTGAGGGAACAGGGGTGCAAAGGCTCCCCTATTAGGGGAGCGTCAGGCTGGAGTGGAGTACATTGGGGGAGTAGGAGAAGCCGAGGTCCGAGGGAGCCTTGTGGATCCTGATGTGAGCTTTGGATTCTGTGCTAAGTGTGATGTGAAACTCTAGGGTGGGTTTGAGTAGGGGCGTGAAGTGATCTGATTCGTGGCTGGAGAAAGAGCCTTCTGTCGAGAGGCAGGCGTTGGAGCGGCGAGAGTGGAAGCTTGGGGCCTGCTGCGTGCTGCTCCCCGTTGCCCAGGTGTGAGACGACAGAGGCTCGGTCAGAGTGATGGAAGAGGGGTGGTGAGAAGGACCCAGTTCTGGCTGTGTTCGGGGGGAAGAGCCGATACGGTTTGCTGACGGATCAAGTGTGAGGCGTGTGACAGAGGAAGAAAAGTCGAGAAGGACTACAGGGTTTCCGTTGGAACAACAGTGGTGCCGTTTACTGAGGTGGGGAGCCCTGGAGGAGGCGTGCCCTGGGGGCAGGGAGAATCAAGAGTTTAATTTTGCCTAAACTACTATTTACTTAATTATTTAAAAAGTCAACTTGAAATCAGATTTTTCCTGAGCAATTATATCTATGAAATCACAGGTCCTAGCCATATATTTTTCTTCTAATGTATGTTAAAATAAACACATAGCCTTAAAATAAAAACATCCTTTAGGGCTTCCCTGGTGGCGCAGTGGTTGAGAGTCCGCCTGCCGATGCAGGGGACACAGGTTCGTGCCCCGGTCCGGGAAGATCCCACATGCCGCGGAGCGGCTGGGCCCGTGAGCCATGGCCGCTGAGCTTGCGTGTCCGGAGCCTGTGCTCCGCAACCAGAGAGGCCACAACAGTGAGAGACCCACGTACCGCAAAAAAAAAAAAAAAAAAAAAATTAAAAAAAAAAAAAAAAACATCCTTTAGACCATCACCTACAACTGTCTCATATGCCGTCAGAATGTGGTCCAGCTGCTCCAGCACACGGTAAGCTCCACAATTATTAGTAGCCCCTTTAAAATGCATTAGTGCTATATTTGTGATGAAAACATAGAGAACCTTTGATGGAAACCCTAGTGAAAGAGGTGGGGGCCAGGAGTGGGGTCGGTCCCAGAGAAGCAAGGAAGGAAAAGGGGGTCATTCTGAAAGATAGAGATGGCAGGAGGCATCAGGGTGTTTTAGCCTTTTTGGAGAGAAAGAACTGCTGCCCCCACCCAGAGTCATCTTGCTGAGGGCATGATTCTCCCTTTCTGAGCTTCCTTTTTGCTTCTAAGGAATCCGGGTGCTTCCGCCACAAAAACACTCGGCCTTTTCATACTATAATTTGATATTCAGGCTGTGGCCCGAACTTGGAATCATGCTTTTGTCTATTTCTGCTGCCCAGGAGTTTGAGATGAGTCTCTGGGGACTTTTATGGACTACTTTTTTTTAAAATTAATTAATTTATTTTATATTTGGCTGTGTTGGGTCTTCGTTGCTGTGCTCAGGCTTTCTCTAGTTGCGGTGAGTGGGGGTTACTCTTCGTCGTGGTGCGCGGGCTTCTCATTGCGGTGCCTTGTTTTGTTGCGGAGCACGGGCTCTAGGTGTGTGGGCTTCAGTAGTTGTGGCTCGTGGGCTCTGGAGCACAGGCTCAGTAGTTGTGGCGCACGGTCTTAGTTGCTCCGCGGCATGTGGGATCTTCCCAGGCCGGGGCTCGAACCTTTGTCCCCTGCATTGGTGCAACCACTGCGCCACCAGGGAAGCCCTTATGGACTATTTTTATGTGACATGGTCACGTGTACATGAGGTGCTAATGCTGAAATATATGTGTGCAAGGTGTGACCCCCTTAATGGGTTAAATACAATTGAATAACTAGAGAAATTTATACCAAAATATGAATTTTGGAATCTCCCTCAGAAAATCAAGTTAAAATTAGGCTTTTCGAAACAGATTCTTTCTTGTGAGAAATGAGCTTGTAACCCATCAAAGAGTTAAGTGAGCCATACTCACTGTTGTATGTGTTTATGAGGCTCTAAGCCTGAGGCTCCCCTTTCTCAGCTTCTCACGACTCATGTTCAGGCGCTAAGCACCGCTTGCTGCTGGTGCTGTGGG